CAACAGATATAAACAAAATATTGTATAGAAAAAATGGTGATAATAATATTCCTTCTGCCGCAGTCGGGTAAACCACTAGCATCTTTATATCGTTGCAACAGGAGCTATTTTGGAACAAAATAGATAGTCTGCTGTGCTGTTGACTGCTGTACTTCAGTCCATTAGCTGACCTTTAAATTATAAACAAATGAAGGTTGCAAAACTCCATCTATCATTTTGCAATGCAACAATATTAATAGCCCTAGAGTTATAAAAGACATTGAGAAGTTCTAATAGAACCGTAGCGTATTTTAGCAGTCAGTTTTTGTCTTTACTTAGTAAGATAACATAATTCAATTGATAAAATTTGCTCCACATGGTATCGAAGCGGAGATGTATTTAGAGATAAGAATTTATACTAAGTATTTGATATGCATGCAAATTATTTACAGTTATTGCCCGAAAACTACAATAAAACGCTGATTATATCATAAATTCTGGGCCTTTAGGAAACTAGCCGCTTGTAATCAAAATACAAAAATCTAGGTATACTAATATTATAAATGCGAAAGTAACTATCTGTCTGTCTCGCTTTCACGCCTAAACCACTGAACCGATTTTTATGAAATTTGGCATAGATATAGTTTGATTCCCGGGAAAGGACATAGGAGGATAGTTTTAGTACCGGTTTTTGAAACAGAGACGCGCGCGATAAAGTTTTTCTGTGACTGACGGGCAAAGCCGCGGGTGGAAAGCTGTAGAGATGAAACGGATATCCGGCAACTATCCGGTAGGCCGGATATCCGGCCTAAATTTACTATCCGGCCGGATACCGGATAGTAACTCACTATCCGGCCGGATACCGGATATTAAAAAACTACGACAATTTCCTATTAATAAAATGAAAAACATTAATCTTTGAGGTAAATATCATTATAATGGCTTATAATAATGACGGCTTTTATTTAAAGTCCAAAAAGTTACAAAAAAGCCATTCTTCAAAAAGCCTTTCAAAAAACTAATTTCTTTTTCTGGGCTATTCACTCTAATGACGAATACATAAATACACGGTGGTGCAGAAGAAAATTCACTTGTGAAAATTGAAGGAAACCAAAACTGTAAATTTTTATAGAACTTTAACTATTGCAATTTGAAGGAAATTTAATGGAATTTATTTTTAAATTTACCTTTATTAAACTACATCGCCCAGGAGATTTCCTTGACGCTTACAACATTCGATCAACATACATCAAAATCTTGAAATGCGTTCGTGAGAATTACCTCGAAACCTATTTTCATTTTTTTGCCGAATGCTCAGCTTCAGTTGCTGCATGTTTGTTGGATTATAAAAGTATACTCTATTCTTAATGTAACACCACAAAAAAGAATTTTCTGGAGTGAGATCAGGGCTTCCTTGTNATGAGTGCATTAATATGACGCCACATAACATTTGGTTTATTTTTGTTATTGTTTACAAAACGAGTGAAATATGCTTGCTTTTCAGAAGCCACCGCCCGGTTATACAAATTGCGTAAGTCACGATAATATTGTCGGCTTGAATCTGTCCCAATAGCCTTTGCTCGACGACATGCTTTATCCCTCTCCGCTCTCATTTGTCTTAAGGTGTCCGTCATCCATGGCGTAGGAGGCCGTCTAAATATGCGTTTTTGTATAGGGGCAAATGTATCCACTAAGTCCAAAACAAGTCCACTGAATGTACTAACCATTGCATTAATATCGGTGTGAGCCAAAACCAGATCCCACGGAGTGAACTTCGCAGCGTTATTAATAGCGTCCGCATTTGCACCCAATGGTCTGTAAGATACCTGTCGAGGCATCGGTCGCCCACAATCAATAGCAAACACAGTGGATATAAGGCCGTGGTCACTAAGGTCGTCATTATGAACCACTTCAACTAGCAAAGGTTTGATATTTTTTCTAGTGAAGACAACATCGATTAGAGTGCTAGAGTTTGGAGTAACACGCGTTGCTTTATCAACAATTTGGTGCAAATTGTAGCACTCAGTTAATACGCTGAGACATCGCGGTATCCCCACACTACCATCATCCAGTAGACAATTTATATTTAGGTCACCTAGTAAGAACAGAAAATCATATTTAACCGAGAAATGCGCGAGCGAATTTTGCAAACAATCAATTGCTATTCCGATACTCACCGATTCCGGTCGGTACGCTATCCCAAAAACGGCGGTAAAACGACTCAGCTTAACAGTAAACCACATTTGTTCTAGTACCCCGGTGGGGTGCTCTAATTGTTTCAGACGAAGATTAGATTTCAGGTACGCTCCTACTCCTCCACCCCGACCCCGACGAGGGCTGTGTACCAGTCTATAACCGGGTATAGAATATAATTTATCGTTTGAGTCAGCATTAAGCCATGTTTCGGTCAAACACAAAATATCAAATGAAGCCGACTGTATACTTTGAACCAATTCGTCCCATCCCGTGTTTAGAGAGTGTACATTCAGAAGTCCTAACGACAGAAATTTTTTTCTAGACTTACCCATTTTGAAAATTGACAAAAATCCCGGATATAATACCCTTAATTAATTAAATTAAAATAAAAAAAATATGTTGCAAACTTCAATCACTACAACCTCCGTAAACATTGCTCACTTTTTATGGGTATGGGTGGCATGCCCTCGTCTTTTCTGGCATAGATTAGGCCCCTACGCACCCACACAAATCTGAATCCCTTCTCTCTACCGATTTTTCTAGCATCTCTAAAGAGTTTTTTACAGTCAGGAGATAAGTGTTCTGATACATAAACGTTTTCAGTTGCGCCTTCGATTCCCAAGTGTCTTGAGTTAAGTCTGCTACTTGAAGTCTTGTTAAATTTGGAAACAGCACCAAGAAGATCTTCGCGAAGCCTCGGCGAGGAAAGCGTCACCAGTATACTTCGGGGTCTGTTAGAAGATTGGTCCATTTTAGCGATGCGGCGGCAGTTTTTAATATCGGAGTCAGTGACTGGTGCATTAATTGTTTTGCAGACATCTTTAAATATTTGCAACAAATTTTCACTCTTATACTCTTTTACTCCTTGTATTTCTAAGTTACTATCCCGTGAGATTTTTTCAATTGCCGTTATCCGGTTATTCAGTATCTGAATTTCCGTCTGTAGTCCAGAGGATTTATTTTGAAGCTCCTTAATTTCCTTATCTTTCTGTCCAAGTCTCGTTTTCAGGTCCGATTGTTCAGCTGTCAAGAAATCTGTAGTGGTGGTGAAATCTGCCTTCAACCGATCAGCTATCTCATTCAGCTTAACCGTGATTAACGCCAATAGGTCCTCCTTGAGTGCTGACCGCAAGCCGCAAACAATTGGAGATGTCGATGACAATTTTTTATCCAACAATCTGCTAATACTCTCGATGGTGACCGGAATCTGGCTTTCAGTGGGACTGTCGGGATCGCCTGAGAGTTGCTTTGTCCGTAGTGATGGTTTCGCCCGAACGGTAACGTTGTGGTGGTCCGAATGTTCGCCCAACTCGCCGCTTGCAATGTCAGAAAAGGGCTTAATGGGTGTGTTTTGGTTATCCCCTTTCGGCTGCTGGTTTTTGCATGCTTGGCATGTCCATGCAGCTTTACGGCTCTTTTCCATCAGGTTAAAAAGTTTTTCATTGACATTAGCACACTCCAGGTCATATTTTGACTGACACAGCGAGCAGGTTAAAAACGCTCTAGTTGTTATTTTACTTTTACATCCGGCGCAATTCATCTTAGATGTCAACATTTTCGTTTGAATATGTAGCAATAACCGTAGCACGCCCACACAGCTGTTTGCAACAGTTGATTGCAAAATGCAATTTTAATGCCAATGTCTGAATTTTGATGGAGACAACGTAATTGCGTGAATTAAGAGTTACACAATGAGGGTTTTCGCGATTGAAAAATCCGCCAGATGGCAATACGTAGACGGGAGATCCAAATGCTGCATGATTGGTGGATTTTGACATATCGCACGTTCATAATCAAACTGTCACTATACAAAAAAGTCGATTTTTCAGGAAAAGCATTTGAAATGCTCAAATTTTAAAACCCTTGCAAAATGAGCAAAATGCTATTAAATGTTTTGTTTTTTGTTAAAGACCAGTAGTGGCTTATTTGGCTTTTACGGAAATATAATTATCTTTCAAATTATCATAATGGTTTATTTAAAATTTAATTTTTTCTCTAAAAATAGTGTCACTTTTCCACTAAAATTGAGACAGTGACAGTTTTCAATTAAAAACGTGTTAATGTTGTATTATTAATTCCGGTAGAAATGTCACTATTTTCATATAAATTTGACGATGAAAAATAAAAAAATGATTATTATTAAATAAAACTAACACAAAAAAATCAGTAATTTTAATAAACTTAAAACTTAATAATTTGGATTATGTCGTACCAATGGTAACAGTAATAAATGTAAATTCTCGATCAGAAATAAATACGTTACACACATGAAATTACTATAAAACTACATCACATAAATCAACTTCTTAGAAAATAAGGTACTCTCTTGTTCAGGCAGCCTTTAAACAACCAGAACTTGATGACCTCGATGAACTTGACGAACTAGATAGTGATTTTTCATGGGAAAAAGGCTCTGAGAAGTAGGTTTAAATTCAGGATCATTATTCAAGGGGCCATTACCTCTGCGAGCAATGTGCCCCGCCCACTGCCACTTGATTTTAGCGATTCTGCGGGCTATGTCGGTCACTTTGGTTCTCCTGTGGATCTCCTCATTTCTGATTCAATCACGTAGCATCGTGCACCATCGGACCTGCGTAACTGGACTGTTTGTCCCAGGTCAGTAAACTTTCGAGTGTAGAGTCTCCAGATAAGTGGATACTACATGGACATTTGACATGTTTTTTGTCTTGTCCATATTCATTTTCATACTCATTCATCAGGCCCACTTGTTGAGAGGCTCTACTTAGGCTATCGAGCATTATGCCTAGATCTTCCACAGTCTAAGCCATGATTACGACATCGTCCGCAAATCGAAGGTGGATTATTTACTCGTTGATATTTATGCTGAATCCACTCCAGTTCAGAAGCTTGAAAACATCTTCCAGGGCGGTGTTGAACAGTATCGGAGATATGACATCTCCCTGTCTCACCCCTTGCTGCAACTGGATGAGTTTCGAGTCCTGATCCTGGAGACGAACCGACATTGTGGCGTTTTCGTACAAGCCTTTCAACACTTCGATGTATCTATAGTCAATTTGGCACCGATGGAGAGACTGTAGCACTGCTCAGATCTCGATCGAATCCAAGGCTTTTTCATAGTCCACAAACGCTAGACAAAGTAGTATAGCCTGACCAGGAACATAAAAACCCTGGCATAGAGGCGCGTCAATTGCATTTGATAGTGCAACACTGAGTACAGTCGTACCTGTGTTAAATTAATAGGCTAAATTTATGTATCAGGATTCAGGATTACGGGCTAATTTGATATTTTCATAAATTAACGAAAAAATATTATTAAAGGTAACCTGGTTTAAATAAATTAAATGAAACCATCAATCGAGCTAGTAGGATTTATTTTATTATTCATCAATAATCAAATTCAGAACTTGAATATTCAACTGCAATGTCTGCTCATGAACGTTTCAAACTCGGTACTTCTTTCCCAATTCCATAAATTTCAAAACTTAGAAAGTGACAAAAAACTTTAAAATAGGTAGTTGAAACAAACTACAGCTAATTTTCATAGTGGACTGTACTATACGATAAACATGTCAGTCAATTTGACAACCTTTATCGGAAACATTATTCAATGAAAATATTGTCCGAACCCTTGGTATTTCTCTTCGACAAATACATTAACACATTGTGAACCACTTTTCTTTCACGACTTTAAAAATATTTTAGCAATTTATTTCACAAAATCAATTGCACACATTGAAAATAAAGTTTGTTTACACTTTGACAGCAATAGACTGACATGCAAGGTGACATGTCAATGAAGTTTTCAGTTACTGTTGCCATTAAAAGAAATTAGTACCATTAGTTTTCCGCAACATGGCGAGGGTTTTTATGTTCCTGGTCAGGCTATACTTACCTTGATAATTTCTTTGATTTTACTAGTGTTTCGATTGACTGGTGGCATTTTTGTTAGATAAAATTATAACTACTTAGTCATTTAAAAATATTTCTTGTTGTTTTAATATTTCACTATTTGGATAAGCACAATATTATACGAAGTGATGAACAATCTTTTTAAAAATGTAAGAGAAATATTGTCACTTTTTGTTTTAAGGCGTTTTTCGTATTACTTTATTGTGACTTATCTTATGGTTTTGGAGTAAAAGCGTCTTTATGCTAAAAATGACGTTTTTCAACACAGAGTTTACATAACTATCACAGCGTGCCCGTCCAGATCCCGTCACTACTAAAACTTATGAGCAGAGTATACTCTAATAATCCAAAAACTCTGCAGCATTCATCCATCCTGAATCCATTTCGAGGTAACTCTAACGAAAGTTTTCCAAAATTTTGATGTATGTTGTAAACGTCAAGGGAATCACATGTACGATAAAATTTATAAAAGGAAATAAATTTTAAAATAAATTGCACTAAATTTCCTTTAAATTGCAATAGTTAAAGTTCTACAAAAATGTACAGTTTTCGTTTCATTAAATTTTCAAAAGTTAATTTTCTTCTGGGCCACCCTCTAGTAAATAATATCTGTTAATGTCGAAATATTGCCAAATAAAAAAGGCGATTTTTTTTTCACTGATGGTTTGATGACATGATGCATGCAGTTCAGTGAGATTACGCAGCAAGTAAACGAATTTAATTTTCGCTATTCAATCACACACTCACGATAGCAACCGAAATCGCTCGAATTGATTTGCCCCCTAGACAAGTGGCAAAATCTGACATTATATTCGGACAGATTCGATTTTCGAAAAGTGTGACTAGTCTAGTCTACTAATAGACCCACTGATCGCGTTCGAAGCACCTATGCGGCGCTAAACTCGTCACGACATGAAACGAGACAATGGGCCAACTATCCGGCCGCCGGATATCCGGCTATCCGGCCTAGCAGCTGGCCGGATATCCGGTATCCGGTATCCGGCCAAACAACTATCCGTTTCATCTCTAAAAGCTAGTACATTAATAAGCAAACCTATTTTATTATGACTGTAAAATTGCCTAAATAGGTAATTTAGTTTTGAGCTGACACGCAAACTTGTAATTAATATATTAACTAAACATTTTAATTGCTATTTAATCCTTCAAGCTCCGCGAATCTAGACACAATAGATAATCAATTGTTATGACATTAATTAATGCCGTCTGGGACTCAATCGGTTAATCCTGTTCCTGCTATTATTTTGGCTTAAGCTATTTGAATAGAAGTATGATGAATGGCTTCTATTAAATACAGTTTCAATTTATAACATCAATGTTATTAAAAGGTAGTTAACTAGGTAGTTGTTACATTTAGCATAAGCATGCGCCTTTTATCTAGACAAGCGGTAGCGTATCAACCTAACTTTAAATAAGTCCCCCCCTGATATTTTTCTACGCCCTCCTTAGGACCCACTCCGGTTGGAAAGTCCTGCAATAGACTGATCCAAGTGAAGATCTTTTTCCAGCAAATAAGTAATGTTAACACTACAAAAGGCCGGACAGCGGACACGTAAGTATTATTGCGAATCAACCTTCAGAATTATAATAGCCGTACAAAGGTCGAAGAGTGCACCGGATTGAGACTCAATTAAGATTTCTATTTATGTAGGTAGGTATAATAAAATAAATACATGGGCGCGGGTTTTCCCATACTAGACCAGTACTATTTTATCATTATGGAACTAATTAGCTATGTATTATAGCTATATCAGAAGTATACCTACATGTCCACCAATTATTGTTTAGAATAGAATAGAATATTGTATGAATAGAAGCACAGAATAGATAATTTGATAGAAGTGACAATCTATCTATTTATTTATAAACATGTTTTAATGGCCTAAACTGGAACAACGTCAATAAGCTTGGATCGCTCCTGTAAATGTGNTTTTCATAAATTAACGAAAAAATATTATTAAAGGTAACCTGGTTTAAATAAATTAAATGAAACCATCAATCGAGCTAGTAGGATTTATTTTATTATTCATCAATAATCAAATTCAGAACTTGAATATTCAACTGCAATGTCTGCTCATGAACGTTTCAAACTCGGTACTTCTTTCCCAATTCCATAAATTTCAAAACTTAGAAAGTGACAAAAAACTTTAAAATAGGTAGTTGAAACAAACTACAGCTAATTTTCATAGTGGACTGTACTATACGATAAACATGTCAGTCAATTTGACAACCTTTATCGGAAACATTATTCAATGAAAATATTGTCCGAACCCTTGGTATTTCTCTTCGACAAATACATTAACACATTGTGAACCACTTTTCTTTCACGACTTTAAAAATATTTTAGCAATTTATTTCACAAAATCAATTGCACACATTGAAAATAAAGTTTGTTTACACTTTGACAGCAATAGACTGACATGCAAGGTGACATATCAATGAAGTTTTCAGTTACTGTTGCCATTAAAAGAAATTAGTACCATTAGTTTTCCGCAACATGGCGAGGGTTGTTATGTTCCTGGTCAGGCTATAATTACCTTGATAATTTCTTTGATTTTACTAGTGTTTCGATTGACTGGTGGCATTTTTGTTAGATAAAATTATAACTACTTAGTCATTTAAAAATATTTCTTGTTGTTTTAATATTTCACTATTTGGATAAGCACAATATTATACGAAGTGATGAACAATCTTTTTAAAAATGTAAGAGAAATATTGTCACTTTTTGTTTTAAGGCGTTTTTCGTATTACTTTATTGTGACTTATCTTATGGTTTTGGAGTAAAAGCGTCTTTATGCTAAAAATGACGTTTTTCAACACAGAGTTTACACAACTATCACAGCGTGCCCGTCCAGATCCCGTCACTACTAAAACGTGTCACTGTTACTCACAACAAATGCCGGTTTTCCCATTAAACTCCATAACGACACTAGTGATATCTGCCGAACTATTTGAGCTTTAAGCTTGGGATTTTTACAGCATGCACTTTTCGCGGAGCGCTGATAGATGGCGATGTTAACTCAATTTCTCCCAATTTCGTATAGTGACGGTTTGATTATGAACGTGCATCTGTCAATGTCATGTCAAAAATAACCAATCATGCAGCATTTGGACCTCGCGTCTACGTATTGCCATCTGGCGGATTTTTCAATCGCGAAAACCCTCATTGTATTGCTTTTTATGATTTTTCAATGATCTCATACAACATTCTTTCCTCGTTTGATGATATTGATGGTTTTATAGATCAAAGTTTTCGCCTACAGAGGGGGCACTTTAAGGCCAATTTGGGTCATACCAATTTGGCTTTTAACTAGGTAGTTGAAGATAAGACTTCATTTTATTTCTCACCTGGAAATGGTTGTTGTGGCTGACGCTCTGCGCGTGCGGTACATGGTTGTAGGGCTCCACGGCGGCCACGTTACCGCGAGCGTGCTGGTTCCTCGGTTGCTGAGCGCCGGCTGAATATGTGGGCAGCTGCTGCATCGGCGTGGGATTGGTGGTTCTGGAAATGGGAATTTGAACTTAAAGCTTTGGTCACATGGGTGGAGATGGCTCATCATGATTATCAGTTAAGGGATGAGTCAGTCCTGAATGTAAAAACACAGACAGTAATAGGGAAGAGACTAGATTCTTTAACTCCTCGTGGGAAATCAGTTATACGCCCTGTATTTCCTAGCTGATTAATATCTTTAGTAACTACTAGGGTTTCTCCCTTCTTACCTCTGCTGCTGCTGCTACAGTCGCTACCAGCTGTCTTTTCAACGCTCGCTTCTTCAGTATTTGTTTCTGAAGTTTGGAGAGGCGGTGGTCTATCCTTTCTACCGTCCAGTCTTGATGAGCTACTGTTTAGGACCTCTTGCTGCTGCTGTTGCTGTGGGTACGTATGTGCATCCTTTCCATCTTGCAGTCTAGATGAGCTTACTGCTATGGATTCTGTCTCCTTACCTTTGCTGTTGTTGCTGCTGGTGCCTATGCGCCGCACGTCGCCAGCTGTCTTTTCAGCGGTCTCTTTCTCAGCATTCACGCCTGCAGCTCGGAGACGCGGCGCTCTGTCCCCTGAATCTCTTAGACTATAGCTACTGTAGTAGTAGCTGATCTTTAAGGAATCTCACTCCTTACCTCTGCTGTGGCTGCTGCGGTTGCTGCTGTGGATGCCTATGTGCTGCCGCCAGCTGTCTGTTCAGCGCTCACTTCCTCAACAATCGCGCCTGCAGTTCGGAGACGCGGCGCTCTATCCCCTGAATCTCTTAGTCTAGAGCTACTGTAGTAGTAGCTCATCCTTAGGGATTTTCTCTCCTTACCTCTACTGTGGCTGCTGCGGTTGCTGCTGCGGATGCCTATATGCCGCCGCCACCTGTCTGTTCAGCGCTCTCTTCCTCAGCGCCTGCAGCTCTGTCCTCTGAGCTGACAGTCTACCATTCTTCTGCGACGTACTCCAAAGGATTCTCTCTCCTTACCTTTGCTGCTGCTGTTGTTGCTGCCTATGCGCCGCCGCCAGCTGTCTGTTCAGCGCTCTCTTTCTCAGAATTTGCGCCTGAAGCGGTCTCTACTCTGCTTTCGGCCGATAGGATAGGAAGTATTCCTAAAGATTCTCTCTCCTTACCTTTGCTGCTGCTGCTGCTGCTGCGGTTGCTGCTGTGGATGCCTATGTGCCGCCGCCAGCTGTCTGTTCAGCGCTCGCTTCCTCAGCAGTCGCGCCTGCAGCTCGGAGACGCAGCGCTCTATCCCCTGAATCTCTTAGTCTAGATGAGCTACTGCTATTTGCCTACTGCTAGGGTTTCTTTGTTCTTACCTCTGCTGTTGCTGCTGCTGCTGCGGTTGCTGCTGTGGATGCCTATGTGCCGCCGCCAGCTGTCTGTTCAGCGCTCGCTTCCTCAACAATCGCGCCTGCAGTTCAGAAACGCGGCGGTCGATACTGCGCATCTCCTCCTGCCGCGCTCCCAACGCCGCCCTTTGAGCCGACAGCCTGCCGTTCTGCTGTTCGTTCAGCTTGTTACGATACTGGAAAGAGAGAAAGGGATGGATTAGTACTGTCGTAGATTTAAGCGAGACTTAGTTGCTTTGGTTCGTATCGTGTTCGTGTACCAGAATACTGGCAAACACTGAAAAAGTTCCCACTTCGTTTTCCAGGAAAACGTTGATAATAACGTACTCGGCTGGATTTGTTGCAGGTCTAAGTAAGCTATCCCCGGTACTACTCGACATCCACTGGTTGGGTTTCATTAGAGGTAAAATTGTAAAGTCGCAGTATTAGGAAAGAGAAGTGAGATTAATCACGATATAGTTATCTTTCGCTCTGCTTACTTTGGCGTATAAATAAATAGTTGAAACGATGGATCAAATTGAATTGAACACGAATAGCAAACAATAAAAATCTACTAACTATTCTAGTAAACATAACTAATATACCACGGCTACTACCTAATAATTTATTTCTCCTAATTTCTCCTGATCTCAGAGATTGGGGTTATAACAAATGGGCAATTGAATAAAACTTGATGTTCCCCATTTCAACGTCGATTTAATTCACTCGTCGGTTATTAACGCTGGCTTTCACACAATGTTCTTTTGAAGACCTCGCACCCATGAATAAACGTTTATGAGTTCATTCTGGAACGATTAAACGCGCAGTAAGCAGCTGAAAACGGGAATTTATTTCAATTTCAGGCGAATTCTCGAGCGTTCATTACTGATGGTTAACGCGACTATATCATTTAACTGAAAAGCGAAAACATTCGTTAAAGTCCAGAGCAAAAGGTTCTCTATCAAAGTACAGTCTCACTCATTGTTTTCAGTTAGGAAGATTTTAAAACTTGAAGAAAATTCCATGGAAAACAAAATTCTCATTACTATTTTATTGTCACCTGTAAATGTAATTAAATTGTATTAATTTCGATAATGAGTAAGTAGGTATAGCACAGAACATCTCATACGTATGTGACAATAAAATAAAACGTAAAATTAATGCTACACGTGTGGAAAACGAATTTCGCCAACACACAATAAGTCGACATCTAAACAAAGTAACTTTCAAACACCCTGTATTCTGCTTTTGAATACGCGGCAAATGTGTAAAATAACGAGTAACTACGTACATTAATTACGGCTCTTAATGGCTCTACTTTACTGAATTCATTTTGAGCACAAAACGCTAGGCAACTTTCAAAGCTTAATATGGCACATACGTAATGAGACTACGCTGCTTATTTGCATTTTCTTCAGTAACTTAACAAGTGCAATTTATTAATATTAATATGCAATGTAGGTAAAGCTGTTCATAATATTCTGTTACCGACTGTTCAATAGTTCGATTTATTTAACTACATCTAAAGGCCGCTATTTACTTCTAAATATTCGATAAGTAAGTAAGTAAGTTCACTTAATGTAGTACCTTTTATTACGAACTAAAGTCGCTGACATAGCCCAACGGATCATTAGCAAGCTAAAGTGACATTGGGCAGGGCACATAGTACGCAGAACTGACAGCCGATGGGGCAGCAAGGTGCTGGAGTGGAGGCCGCGTACCGGAAAACGCAGCGTAGGACGTCCACCCACAAGGTAGACTGACATCATAAAGGTAGCAGGAAGGCGCTATACGCAGGCCGCTACCAATCTATCAACATGGAAATCATTGGGGGAGGCCTATGTTCAGCTGTGGACGTCATATTGCTGAAATGATGATGATAATGATTACCTTTCATTAATGAATGCAAACCACCAATCAACTGAGGTATTTTTACGTCAAAGTCAAGCTTTCATATTTTAAGAATATTAAGATCCCACCAAAAACATTCTGTAAAAAATTAGCCAAGTCTCGATGGAGCTGCCTGTTTATCTCTAAAAAGTAATGAAATCTAGACAAAGTCGTGCCAAGTCTATGGTTCCTTACTGCGATTTCTTTATTATTATATTTAATGTTGTGTGACTTGGCCGTTGAAAACAAGTGCCACGCCATCTAGCGATGAGCGGTACAGGCGAACACCACGGTGCCGGTGTGGCGCTAGTAGTATTGATTATGAATGTGGTGTTACTCCAGATCTTCGATTTTCCTAGTTTTTATAGTTTTCCCTTTATGTAGTCATTAAACCCTAACTCTGTACCAAATTTCAGCTCTCTGAGTTAATGGGAAGTACTAGTTCTATTTTGATGATCATCAGTGAGTGAGTGAGTGAGTGTCGTAAATGCGAAACTTTGCTTTCGCTTAACTTCGGAACTAAATGACCTACAAACTTGAAATTTTGGATTTTAAGTATGTGATTATAGCTTACTAGATGACAAAAATTTCTGCGTTCTGGTCTTATCCAGAGGTTCTCAAATAGAGGCCTGAAAATGCGGCGAAATGGTTCCAGTAAAGATGGTACGGCAGTGTTTGCTTCGCGCTCGACTTGGCGGGGGCACTGCCGTGCCCCCAGATAAAGGACCGGACCAACAGCGCCACTTTTCTCAGAAACGCCAACCCATTTATTTAGATTACATTTTGATGGACACTTGAAGTCTATAAGGAACTATTCTTATCTACATAACTCTAAAATTCACGGAGTCTTGGATGATTAATTACGAAAACTTTATTGAGATGAAATTCCATACTCCAAGGTATTTCTTACCGTAGCGACGGTATTTGGACATAGTGAAGGTAGTTTCAATGGTCTCACTCGTTGGCGTATCTAGGGTTCTTTTTCAGGGGGGGGCATGGCCCCTAACATCCTGCCATGTGATTAGTATGTAGCTCATGAGTTAGGCCCAGATTTTTATTCATAGTTAAAATAACTAATTGTTAAATTTTGCTACTAATGGTTAAATATTAACAAAATGTAAACTAATAGTTAAAGATTGTACTAAAAGGCAAGCTAACCATTGTTCAAAAACATTTTTTTCTGATATTTATCCACTTGTCATTTGACATGTGTCAAATTTGACTATTGGTTATTTTAACTACGAATCAAAAACCTGGGCAGGCACCAGACCATTCTTGGTACCATCTTCGGTATAAACTTAGACAGTGCCACTGTCGTTTCAAATTCGTATTCGTTTCACTACGATCCGAAATTGAGTACTTTTAAAACTACGTGACTTGAGCGAATCGAAAATTAGATAGCAATGATTTATCAAAAATTCCTGATCAAGCAAGTGAGATTTCTTTGTTAATCTCTATTAGTATTTGAGTGATGAGAAAAAGATTAAAATGTTTGAAGTTTCAGTGTAATTCTTCCGGAAAATTGGCGGCTTGTTATCAGCGAAAAGCTCCAATTAAACTTGGTTTAGGAGTTTTTTATTTGTTTTGATTAATTTGAAAACCGCTGGTTTTGTGAAGTCTTACAAATCGTACGTTTAGAGATGATAAAGCTGTTTTAAACTTGAATCTTCATAATGTTTGTAACCACCAGGTGCTTCGAAATATCTAACAATTTAAATAATCCCCTAACGAAGATTTTTGTAATAATTCGACACGCTCGATGGAATAAAAAGAAAAAAATGTGCCGAAATGAGTGACGTACCTACGGAGTCAACTAGTAGCTTCTAAAATAAATACCTATATCATTACATAGGATTTACAATACCTATACCTACAGTCCATACCAGCAAAAAGTGGATAAGATTAAAGTGTAAAAGTTTCACAGTAATTCTTCCGGAAAATTGGTGGCTTGTTATCTTTGAACTAGTGATGTTCAATTGATATAAAGTATCGAATATCGAAGTCAGATTCTTATGTAGGTAATTCAAATTCAACATTGCCGCCAGTAGCTGCCTTCAGAATTGTTATGAACCAATCAAAAACAGCTAATGTTAAAAAAAATATGCGAGCATTTGAAATAAGTTCTCTAATCTACTTATAATTTTATTCATTGTCTAGTCACCAAATTACTTAAGGTCTGCTTAGTGTTCGGTGCCTAAATATTTGGTGTTAGCTGGAACAGTTTGGGGATTTTAGGTTTCAACTATCGATCAACATGAAATGGAACACATCACTAGCGGCCGCAACTCAGCCATGTTCGTTAGGAGTTTTTTCAAGACTTAAGGGCCTGTTCCACCACCTACTGGAAAACTCCCTGATAGCTTAAGAGGAACTTATCTCTATGATAAACTTAAACTTTCAAGATCTCCCATAGAGATATTAGATGAAGTGTTCGGTAACCAGTAACAATTTGTTGGATAGCATTAACTCAAAATAACTATCTGAAACTTTATCAAGAATGTCGAAACTGACCCTTATACCCGTAATAGAGACCGTGTTAACTTTCGATCTGATATCCTTTGGACAAACGACTTACTATTAAAAGTTTTGATTGCTTTAGAATAGATGGATGGAACTTAGACGCGTGTCAAAAACTTCCGCGTCTAGTGTAGTTTAGTAAAGTTTGTAAAGGATATAGCTATGCCTTTGACTTATAGTTTCAAGCTATTTAAGTACTTACATGTTTATAGTAAACTAGCTTTTGCCCGCGGCTTCACCCGCGTGAAATTTAGTGTCACAAATCGGCAAAAATTATAGCCTATATGATAATCTCTGGGTTACAAACAATAATACTGTAAAGTTTCAACAAAATCCGTTCAGTAGTTTTTTGCGTGAAAGAGTAACAAACATCCAGACCTCCAAACTTTCGCATTTATAATATTAGTAGGATTGTGGGTAAACAAAACAAATATTACATTTAACCCTTTCAAGTAAGCAACTTGTAAATTCGCTTGTGTTACGAGTGGATTTATCACAATAGTTTAGCGGACAATAGGGATCAAACTCACAGCCAATTAACACTCGATTTAAGAGTCCAATGGTGAAATTATCGGGCGAAATCCCTAATATTGTAATGCGAAAATAAAACTCCTATATTTACGATATTGTAAATCCATAGTCAAGTCCATAAAACCAGTAAAAAATTTTATCGTTTAACCTGTCAAATGCCCACCTACTAGTAGAACAAAACACAATAGTCCACAAATAGGCTAGTTTCCTAAAATATTTTTTTAGTCCGCAATGTTTATTATCAAAAAATATTGGACAC